ACTAGATGGGCTTTGAGGTCCCTTCCAACCCAAACCAGTCTGGGATTCTATTTTTCAAAGTATTTCAGAACCCAATGGCTACAACAAACAGAAGTTTTCTTCTGATTTCAAGCCCAGTTTTATCTGTAGCCGGTTTATACCCGTTTGCTCTTAGTCAGTGGTAGGTTTCAGATGAAATAGTTGTTGCTTCTCTGAGGAACTGGCTTTCCTAATGAATTAAGATAGCTTTAATTTTGCAAGAGGCTCAACAGGCTAAGCTCCTTTTAATCTGTGATGATATAAAAGCCTTCCTCTTGGCCAGCTAGAATGCATTATTCTTGAAAATTGGTGACTGGATCTGTACATTTTCAGGTACTTAAATTTCAGATGAGGTCTTGCTTACCTTTTTAGCAGTGTTATTGATGGGTATTTCCACTAAAGAAAAATAATTATGTTCTAAGATTACATTTACTTGTCCCGCAGTGCTATTGTGTTGGTCTCTCATAGTCTTCCTATGATGGACTTGGAGGTGGTAGTCTCTTTCTAGCAGATTAGATCTGATCTGTTCTTTTAAACAGGTTGATTTATGAGTGTCAACCTGGAACACAGGCGTTTTTGAGCTCCTAAGTTTGGCTGTAGCATTGACCATGCCTCAGGGAAGTCTGTGTGCTACCCTTTCCAGCCTGACTTTCCCGTGGGTAAAGTGAAGATTTATATTTCTTAAGGCTATTGGGAACGGCTGGTAGTTGCATAGAACTGTGGAAATACTGAGCTCTGAATGTTATTCCTGAATTTGCTTTTAACGTTACTGGAAGGATGAGGCTAAATTAGAAAGTACAAAACCACCGTGACAAAAATATCGCTGTAGATTGCGTTGTAAAAGTTGGTTTATTGTTCCATGACTCCTGCAAATCATGTTTTCCTAATAGCAAAACTCTCTCTGAAGCTTGAAAATGCAATTTGCTTTTTTTTCTAGCAGTAAAAAATTTTTCACTGGCTCAGTCCATTGACCTGTGAAACACGTTCTCCCGTTTCTTGTGCCGTAGGTCTTGTGGCAGTGTTTTGCTATTGGGGAATGTCGATAAAATGGACAGATGTGGAATATACAGAGATCTTTAAATAATGTAGATCTGTCTCCTGCTACTGCAGTGTTTTTAAATATCGCTGAGCTCTCTTCTTCCTTACAGCGCTGCTTCATTTCTTGAATTCCGTGTTGTAACTTAAATCTTAGGTAGTGTGTCAGGAAAGCAATATTGACGAAATGTTTTCCTCCTCTAATACCTTGGTCTTAATGACCGCAGAGGCTCGTCGCTGTGACAGAAGCTTCGTTACTGAATAAGCTGGGGTCTTGCTGTGTTTGCATTTTTCTACTTAATCAGAATCATCAGGAACCGAATATGTTCTTTAAGAACAATAGGCCTAAAAGCTACACACGAGTTTAAGTAAATGTTTTCAAGATGAGCTAATTTGACTGAAAAATAAAAGTATGTTTAAAACAATAATGTTTGCAAGACATGAGATTAATTGTTATTTTTATGATCCTGGCACATAAATGTTATGGAAGCTAGTGAGGATGGCTGCAGGGAAGAGAATCTGATCTCCACTTAAGCTTGTTGTATTTGGGTATTCTTCAAATTCCTGCTATGTTTTACAGCACAAATACACTCTGGACACCTTTTGATGCTTTTTTGCTTAAGTTCTGAGTAATTTTCATAATTAGGTGGCACCTTTTTCTTTCTTTTGAGGAATCTAAAGTCACAAAGCAGAGGAATTTAATTGTTTTTAATGCCGAAGTGCTGATACTCTGGGGCTTTTCAGCAATTCATAAAGTGCTATGTAGCAAGTTAAAAATGCTGTGAATGCTCCAAGCAATTAAAAATGTCAGGAAGAATAAAACAAGCAGAGTTTAATTATCTAAATTAGTTTGCTTAAGATACCAGAGTTATAGCTACACTTGCAAAGCACGCTACAAAATAAGTAATATTTATTGCTGGATAGGAGACCTAATTTTCACCTGCAAGTCCCTCTGCAGATACTTACGACAGCAGCATGTGCTGTATTAGAGGTGAAGCTTTTGATGTGAAGACTTTCCTGTGAGAAGATCCCTGATGGCTTGGTCTCCATCCTCCTCAGTGTTTCCTTAGCGTCTCCTGGCCTTAGCCCAGTCCTTGAATAATATGAGGCCTGGCTGTTGGGTGTTACGTCCTTTTAAACAGAACTAACAATGAATTCCCCTCCCTCTCTTTTAATAGAAGTTCGAATTGCTGCGGTTGAAGCCCTCTGTATGTTAGCTCAGTCCTCGCCTTCTTTTGCGGAAAAATGCCTGGATTTTTTGGTTGACATGTTTAATGATGAAATTGAGGAGGTGAGATTGCAGTCAATACACACAATGAGAAAAATTTCCAACAACATCACGCTGCGGGAAGACCAGCTGGATACCGTGTTAGCTGTCTTGGAGGTAAGAAATTCCTGAGGGAGGAAAAAATTGCAT